AATATACTGCTGCAATCAGTTTCGAATTATCTTCAGCAAAATTTTACTTGTGTGTGATATTAATAATATTGTTTGATAATTTCCACATTCTGTGGGATCACCTTTCATTTGAATGGATACTAATATGCATTTCTTCCAATCAATTGGCTAGGTAGCTGTCTTTCAAATTTCTTGGCATAGATGAGTAAGTACCTCCAGCACAGCATCCATTTGTTTAAACGTCTCAATGGGTATGCCATCAATTCCTGGAGCCTTATTTTTCATCAATTCCTTCAGTGCAGTTTTGACTTCTTCCTTCAATACCATTGGTTCTTGATAATATGCCACCTGCTGAAATGGATGAACATTAACCAACTCTTTTTGGTATGGTGACTCTGTGTATTCATTCCATCTTCTTTTGATGTTCCCTATATCATTCAATATTTTGTCCATAGAATCTTTCAATATTGAAACTTGAGGCTTAAATTTTTTTCTTCAGTTCTTCAGCTTGAGAAATTCCAAGCCTGTTCTTCTTCCCCTTTGGTTTTCTAACTTCAGGTCTTTGTACATTTCTTTATAATAGTTGACTTAATCTTATTGAGCTGCTTTTTGAAATCTTCTGTTCTGCTCTTTCATCTTGTCATGTCTTCCATTTACTTTAGTTGCTCTCCTTTTAAGAGCAAGTTTCAGAGTTTCTTGTGACATCCATTTTAATCTTTTCTTCCTTTCCTGCCTTTTTAATGATGTTTTGCTTTCTTCGTGGATGATGTTCTTGATGTCATCCCACAGTTCCTCTGGTTTTCAGTCATTGGTGCTCAATCTATTCTTCAGATGGTCTATAAATTCAGGTGGGATATAATCAAGGTCATAGTTTGGCTCTCGTGGACTTGTTTGACTGTCTTCAGCTTCAACTTGAACTTGCATACTTGCATTTGAGCAGTTGATGGTCTGTTCTACAGTCAGCTCCTGGCCTTGTTTTGGCTAAAGAGATTGAGTTTCTCCATTGCTTCTTTCCACAGATATAGTTGGTCTGATTCCTGTTTATTCCATCTGGTGAAGTTCACGTGTATAACCACTGTATATGTTGTTGAAAAGGGTATATTCAATGAATAAGTCGTTGGTCTTGTAAAATTCTATCATGCAGTATCTGGCATCATTTCTGTCTACCAAGGCCATAATTTCCAACTACTAGTGATTCTTCATGGGGAGTTCCTCATGATCAGTTGACTGATGGAGACAAAACTCATTCCTGGTTTATAGATGTTTCTGCACAATATATAGACACCACTTAAAAATAGACAGCAGCAGCACTGCAACCCCTTTCTACAACTCCCCTGAAGGATAGTGGTGAAGGGAAATCCTCCCATGGACAGAAATTTGAGCAATGCACCTGGTTATTCATATTTATTGGAAGGCAAGATGGCCAGATGTGTACTCTGTGTATATTGGGCTATGGCCAATGGTTTGGCTAGATGGTCAGGGACTTGGAAGGAACATGATTGGAAAACTGGTGCCAAGGAGGTATGGGGAAGAGGTATGCAGATAGACCTTTATTAATAGGCCAAAGAAGTGAAGATATTTGTGTTTCACATGAATGCTCACTAAAGAATAAGCTCAGCAATGGAGGATTTTAACAATCAAGTGGATAGGATCACATGTTATGTGGAAAGCAGTCATCCTCATTCCTCAACTTCTCCTGTCATTGCTCAACAGGCTCATAAACAAAGTGACCATAGTGGCAGGGATGGAGGTTATGCATAGGCTCAGCAACATCTACTTCATTCACCAAGGTTAATTTGGCTACAGTCATTGATGTGTGCCCAATTTATAACCAGCAGTGACCAACACTAAGTCTGTGTTATGGACCATTCCTTGAGGTAATCATCCAGCAATCTAGTGGCAGGTTGATTACATTGGACTACTTCCATCATGGAAAGGGTAGTGTTTTGTTCTTACTGGAATAGACACTTACTCTGGATACAGATTTGCTTTCCCTGCATGTCATTATTGGACTTAAGTACCATCTATGGACTTATCCCACTTCAGTACCATCTATGGACTTATCCCACTCCTCGGAAGGAAGGTTGGGAATTCCTACTTCCGTAGTGATACTGCCTCGGAAACCCAAGGAGGGGTCGCTATGAGTCAGGGCCAACTCGATGGCAAATAACAACAACAACAACATGGACTTATCCACCATCATTGTATCCTACAAAGCATCACCTTAGATTAAGGGACTCATTTCACAGCAAATGAAGTGCAGCAATGGGCCCATGCTCATGAAACTTACTGATCTTACCATGTTCCCCCTTATCCTGAAGCAACTGGCTTGATAGAAAGATGGAATGTCCTTCTAAATACACAATCACAGCACCAGATAAGTGGCAATACCTTGCAGGGTTGGGGCAGTGTTTTCCAGGAAGCTGCATATGCTCTACAACAGTATCCAACATACAGTGCTGTTTCTCTAATAGGCAGAATTTATGGGTCCAGGAACCAAGGAATGGAAATGTAAGTGCCACCACTCACTATCACCTCTAGGGACCTACTCATAAAATATTTGCTCCCTCTCTCTGCAACCCTATGCTGTGCAATTCTAGAAGTCTTAGTTTCAAAAGGAGGAATGTTCCCACCTGAAGAGACAATACTAATTCCATTGAACTGGAAACTAAAAATGCCACCCTTCTACTTTGGGCTCCGCATGTCTTTGGATCAATGAACAAAGAAAGGAGTTACTGTATCAGCTGTTATGATTGATCCTGATTACCAAGTGGAAATCAGGTTGATATTACATAATGGAGGTAAAGAAGAGTATGTCTGAATTATAGGACATTCTTTAGGACGTTTCCTAGTACTACCATGCTGTGTGATTAAGGGCAATGGAGAATGCAATAATCCAATTCTGACATGACTGCTAATGGCTCAGACCCTTCAGGAATGAAGATTTGGGTCACCCCACTAGGCAAAACCTATGACCAGCTGAGGTGCTTGCTGAGGGCAAAGGGAATACAGAATAGGTGGTGGAAGAAGGTAGTTCTCAATGCCAGCTTTGATCAAGAGACCAGCTGCAGAAACAAGGACTGTGATTGTTCTTTCTTTCTTGTGTGTGCATGAAATATTTTTGTTTTCTTCACTTATAAAACATAAGATGTTAATGGGACTAGTCCACTTTCAGTTGTATGCATGTTAGTTGTATCATGTTAGGTGCAAGTATGAATTTATAATTGCTTTTATTTAGAGATTATGTATGGTTTAAAAAGATGTGTACAGGTGCCAAGTTGACAAGGGGTGGACTTTGATAGTTAAGATTGTGTGCCAACTTGGCTGGACCATGCTTCCTAGTAGTCTTACAGTTATGATGTAGTCATCCCCCATGATGAGATGTAATTTAATGTAACCACCTCCATGATGAGACATGCTATCGACAGCCAATCAGTTGAAAGGGAGTTTCCTCAGGGATGTGGCCTATGTATAGATGCTTTGGCAAAGTTTTTTGTTCAATCTGGATCCTGCATCTGGCTCTTTATCATCTGACCTTCAGTTCTTTGGATTCTTTGGACTTGAGTCAGTGGCCTGCCACACTGCCTGTGGACCTTGGAATTCATTACTCTCTGCAGCCTGTGAGCCAGCATCATACCACCTTACCTGCTGAACTTGGATGCTTCAGCCTCCACAGCACATGAGCTAGCAGTTTGCCGTCTGACCTTCTGATATTGTCTTTGTCAGCCCCTATTGGGCAATCTACTTCCATAGTGATACTGCCTCAGAATCCCAAGGAGGGGTCACTATGAGTCGGATCCAACTCAATGGCAGGGAGTTGGTTTTTTATAGCTATGTGAGTCAGGAGAATTCTCCAGGCTGACATCTGACCATGGACTAGGGACTTGGCAGCCTGTACAACCATGTGAGCCATTTCTTTGAAATAAACAAATCTGTGTGTGTGTGTGTGTGTGTGTGTAATCCTAAATGTCACTGGTTTTGTTTCTCTAGAGAACTCAGCGTAAGACAAATGTCTTTGACTTTGAAAACAAATTCCCTTCCTGCTCTTAATGCCCACTTACTACCACTCCTGTAGTTTTTTGGGAACTGAAGCCAGTCCCCTCAGCCTACCTTTTCTTGTGGAGGAAGTTCCCTTGCAATTCTGATGCAAGAAGTCCTCATATAGTCAACTACAACTTTGAGCATGCTCTTTGGGTTGAGCGATAGTAGCATTCATAGCCACCATGTAAAGCAGAACATTTCTGTCACAGTCCTTAGAGATTGATTTAAGGCTTATGCCATATCAGTTCCTCCAACTAATGAGAAAAAAAGTCATATGATGTGAGAGGTTGGGATTCCATTCTGGCCAATGCACTTTATATGCAGCCACCACCCATCTGTCAGTGGAAGCTTGCATGTTGCTATGATGTTGAACAGGTTTCAGTGGCACTTCCAGACTAAGAAGATAGGGGAAAAAAACCTGGTGATCTACTTCCAAAAACAATCCAATGAAAACCTTATGGATCACAAATACCAATCTACAAATCTTGGGTGGTGCAAATGCAAACAGTTAGCACATTTGACTGTTAACCAAAGGTCAGAGGTCTGAATATATCTAAAGAAACCTTGGATAAAAGCCCAGGAACTCTGGTGGCATAGTGTCTAAGGCATATGACTGGTAACCAGAAGGTTGGTGGTTCAAACCCATCAGCCACTCCCTGGAAGGAAGACTGGGCAATCTACTTCCATAAAGATTTACCACCTCAGAAAGTCAAAGGAGGTCGCTATGAGTCAGAGTCCACTCAATGGCAGTTAGCTTGCTTTTGTTTTTGATGCATTTCCAAAAAGCAGCCATTGAAAACCCCATAAGTGAGAGTTAACTCTCTGGTAACTGGTACTTAGTTTAAAGTTAAGTGAGATTTGTCAGCTGACTAATTTTATTTATATAAACAATAATAAAGATTAGCGAATTCTTTCATATGATTATAATCAATTTTATGTTAATCTCAGCTTAAAATAACTATATTTTCATGAGTAAAATATCAGACAATTCCCAACAAAATTCCTGACCAGTAAGCCTCAAAAATGTCATCAAAAACAAGGAAAAATCTGAAAAACTGGCACAGGCTGAGAAACATGACTACTAAATATAATGTAGTATCTTGAGTGAGATCCTGAAGTGGAAAACAAACATTAGGCAAAAACTAAGGAAATCTGACTAAAGTCTGGACTTTGGTTAACAATAATGTATCCATATTTGGTTCATTGAGAAAAATTCACCATACTAATTGGTGAACAATTTATGATTGTTGATGAACAATAATAAAGATTATTATTATTGTAAGATATTACCAATAGGAGGAACTGTATGTGGGGCATATGGAAATTCTCTGAACAATCTTTGAAACTTTTCTGTAAATCAAAAAGTATTGTAAAACAAAAAGTTTATTTAAAAAACTACACAAAGAAATTTCCCCTTAAGAAAGAATACTTCTCTACCCAAAGCAATCTATACATTTAATGCAATCCCAATCCAGATCCCATCAACATTCTTTAGGGATATGGAAAAACCAATCACTAACTTTATATGGAATGGAAGGAGACCTCGGATAAGCAAAGCTCTAC